GGCCGCGGACTGCGGGGCTGAGCCCCGAGAGGGAGCCGGTGACCCGGGGAGGAATGTGCGGTAGCACAAAGGGAGACCGGGCTGCTCGCTGCTCTAGGTGTGGCAGTCCTGGAGAGGAATGCCAGCCTCGCCTCCTGGATGGCCACGGCTGTCACCTGGGGCTGCTCCGAGGCGTCGCCCCGTAATGTGGGGGTTCGGCGGAGCACGGGGCTGTGGAGCGGAGGGCGTGTCACCCCAACAATTGCTGGTGCTGCCCGATTGCCAGAGCCCTTCTCAGGTCTAATCCGGGAGCTGACCCGCATGACTAATGCCTTGCATGCGGATTGCGAGTGTGCTTTGGCTCCACTTCCCCTTAATTCAAAGTAAAAGCTGACTTGAGGCCACTAGAACAGTGAAAAGGGACGGATTCAAGCGCCTTGAGATCGTCACGGTGTGTGCTTATCTTCATTGCTGTTGCGGTGTTGGTATGTTGTAAAGATGCAAGATTTCAATGATAACTAAACACCACAGTATCAGGGGCCATGATACTCAAGATCTAATTAAAAAGGAGCATTTGGAACAATAATTTTTCAAAAGGCCTGTTAAAACCCGAATTTATTTTTTTTCAGGGGAAGTTTCACAATGCATTTTATTTGCATGTGTGATGGGACTTTATGGTTACTTGTGCTGTTGTCTTTCACGAAGCCTACTTTGTTTTGTTCTTCTGGGAGCTCTCTATGTAGCAATATGCCAAGGAGATGAATTTTTTTTTTGTTTCCACCATTTGGAGGACAGATGATGACAAAAGCTTGCAACAGACTGAAGAGGAGGGATTCTATATGATGGATGAACAGAATTTTTCCTAGGCGTGTTCTCTGAGTGGAGCTCTGGGTGGTTTAAACAGAACTGAATGGAAGAAATAGGATCTACCAATTCATGTTGCTTTAAAAAGGAGGGATGAAAGCATGTTTTCTGGAAGTGATTTGGGTTTTGTTCCCTCTCTGACCTCTGAAGGATAAGGCAAAAAGAGCACAGTAATTCCTGAAATAGTTCTGTGTTAGAGACCTAACTGTGAGAATGGCGTAGTACAGCTGAGAAGTGGCATCAAGGAGTTATTTTAATTTGTCAGTGATGATTAATTTAGGGCTCTGAAGTAAGGACTGGCATCTGGGGGAGGCCTGGTTTCCAAAGACAAGGTGTTGTAACACAATGCTCATCTAATGATGAGTTGAAATATTAGAAGCTCTGTACTTAAAACTCCTGGATGAGAGCAAATGATGTTGATAAAAGCATTGCCAGGTTATCTCAGAGTACTTTGGCCTTCTCAGATGCAGGAGCACTTAGTTCCATCATGTTAAATATCCATTTAAACATCAAATATTTGTTAGTTTTGCGTTTAGCAGTGGGTGTTAAATCCGTCTGGGTCAAGATTTTTGGCCTGGTTTCAAATGAGTTCACTCTCAGTCATGCTGGAGACTTGCAAAATGAATTTGCTGCCTGCAACTGCTGGCGGGGTGGCCGTGGCAGGGAAGCCACGTGGCCCTGTGGTTTGCTCTCTGCAGAATTGTTGTTTCACTTACTTTGAGCTCTGCTGTTTGAATTTTAGGCCTAACTGAAGAATTGCAATTCACAGTCTAGAAATTCTGAAAAAAAAACCTCTTCATATTTGAAATCTAATGCTTTCATTTATGAGGATTTGAGGCAAATAACTTTGAAATTCTGTTTGAATTTTAGGCCTAACTGAAGAATTGCGATTCACAGTCTAGAAATTCTGAAAAAAAAAAAAAACTCTTCATATTTGCAATCTAATGCTTTCATTTATGAGGATTTGAGGCAAATAACTTTGAAATTCTGTTTCCAGGAGGAGGAGAGTCTGGCCTGTAGCAGAGGATAGTAGGGCTTCTTTTATCTGCAACAATTGGCCATGGTGCTGCCTTTTGGCAGCAAAAATGTATTGCCTGCTTGATGGCCCCTTGAAATGGATTTTATGTGTATATGGAGGTGTTTTTTCAAAAGAAAACCTTTGTAATTGCTTTTAGTTACACACTTAAGAGTATTCAGTATCATTGTGACATAATTATATATAATGCTAGTCTCTGACAGGGTAAGAGCAGCCTACCCTCTGAAGAGCTAGTGTAAATATTTGCAGGAGGAGAAAACAAGCAGGAGCTCTGCACTCAAACTTGGGTTCTCCTGAATGATTTCTGGGGTTTTTGTACTTGCTGTTTTGTGAGTAACAGAAACTACAGTTCTGGTGAGATTACTGCTTAAATCTTCTGATTACCTGAATTTCCATAGGGTACAAAACAAAAAGTCAGAGGTAGTTATACATGGTCAAAGTAAAACCCCTTTTTTTGGCTGGCTGCCCACAGTAAGAATAACCATGTACTATGATGATAGATACCACTTTGCCTCTTCAAGCCCCAGATTCTGCAGCAAAAGGAGGCTCATAGATCACTTTTCTGGAGGAGACTGGTGTGTTTGGAGTCAAGCTGCACTTAGCAGAAGGCTGAACATGAAATCCACCAGACTGGCCCTAGGCCAGCATGCAGAGAGAATAAAGATGTTTCCTCACTTGTCTGCTGCCTTCAGCTGACCTGGGTTAAATACATATGCAAACGTTGTGGAGGGCCAGTTTATTAATTAGTCTAGCTTTTCCACGTGATTATGTAGGATTTTTCCTTGAATTGATCCACGCTGAGGAGAGGTGTCAGGAAGCTTTGGCAGCCCGTGTCGTGCAGAGGTCAGCAGAGCTGCCTGGGGCTGTCCCTGGCCAGGCTGAGCCCGGCCGCAGGAGGTGCTGAATAAATGCAGATCTGTACTTGTTCTGCTCAGCCCAGTGAGAACCTCTTACCCTGCTCATGCTGCCTTTGTGTTTGATCCAAATTCTAAAGCAGCATATCTGCTCCTCAGATTTCTTTCTGTCGTGCTGCTGTGTCTGCATGGATTCCTCCAGAGGAGTTGTGTGCATTGTAAGCACAGGATGCAGCATGACTTGGAAAAAACAGAGCTGTCCTTGGATGCTGTCACTGCTGACTTTCATTTGCACCCTTCTTTTATTGAAATATGTACCCACTGATCTTCAGTGTTTCTCTGAGGTGCAAGACATTTTCTCTTCCCAAGGATAGTCAGCAAAGCTCTAAGGGAGGTGTTCATAACCTGGGTTATCTAACTTAGAATGTGATTAAAAAAAATCAGCAATTTGACTGCTATAGTAAACCTTCATTTTCAC